CTGCTAGGTTTGCTCTAATTYCATAAATATGGAGTTAAGATGAATAGTTTGTTTTATGCAGAACTCTATGCCTATTATTGCTCTTGGTTTTGTTGCAGTAATGTTGCCCTTGGGCACTCGTCGAGTGTGGATCTTCGTGGTCCTGCTCCTGCTTTGTAGCATCTATTCACGTGAGTATTGCAAGGACAAAAATATTTCCAAAGAAGCAGCAAGTGCTTTTACTGGCAAGAAATTTGCAGGTTTTGTTGTCTTGGAAATGACTGGAAAATCCTGAGAAATGTAACAAGCAATTACTTCAGATTGGATTGATCAGTTCTGAGACTTAAATAGAGGAAAATATTTTGGTTTGTGCAGCTAAAGTTCTTATTTCTCTCTGTGCATCTGTACAAGAAATACACATTGCTTGTATTTCCCTGTCAGTGCATCTTGCTTTTATTTTACAGCTGATTATAGATTTTTCTAATTTTTTCCTTCTTTGACTTTTTATTAGCATACTATTAAAGGTACTCTTATAGCCTGTTGAGAATTGATGTATTTGCTTAATACAGCAGATTACTCAAAACAGTTAGCAAAAATTTTTGTATGATAACTTGCACTCAAAACAGATGTTAAGTTCGATCATCTGACACGTGTAAAAAGGATCAGTCCAAACATGTTTGCATTGGATCCATAATTGGGAAACCAGACCTCAGAGCCTTTTCAGCTCTTGGTGAAAGGCTGGCGGTTGCTGCATCATTGTAAAAGGTTTCCAGGATGGGTGTGAGCTCTAACATAGATATAAATGTCGTAGATACAGCAATGGCCATGAAACCTTTGTGTATGGTTTGTGCCTCTTGAAACCCTCACATACGAGAGTGATGTGTAGGGCAGCCGTGGTTTGCAGATGATTCTTACCAAACTGAATSTTAGAAACTCCATCTCGTGAACTTCCTGTGAAATCATTACAAAATCTTTAGAGTTTTCTGTTCTGTCTTGTTTACTGGCAGGGAGAGGGGCCTCATGATATAACTGTTACTGTGAGCTGTGATGGTCCCATTTCTGTTACACGACAGTTTCAGATTCTCTATTTTGACAACACCTTCAATTCTCTCTACTCTRATGCTTCTTTTTCCCAAGGAAATTTTGTGTGGCATGGAAGAGGCAAATTGTGCCCCAGGACAATAAGGAATTTATGCTCCTGATGCTKTTAGCTGAAGAATAATCCAAAAGATTGAAGTTGTTCAATACCTTCGTTTTTGGTTAGGCTGTGATCTCACTCCTGTTCACAAGGAGCTCTAACACCATGAAATGGCTTTCAGCAAACTCCATCACTGAAAGCTATTAAAGCGCTGATGGTGTAAGTTTCTCTCATGGAGAGAAAAAAGGCAAGCAGGGGGAATACTGGGTCTCTTTTTCCCCCTCACTGGGGAGTGGTTGATTGCCACTGGAGCCCTACTGTGATTTGCACTTTTGGTTTAATGAAAAAGAAATGTAGGGAGGCAGCAAGGTTTACTGATGCCATATTTTTTTTAGAATAGTGTAAATGAAAGGCGATTGGGAAGTCCCAGAGTAAGAAATCAGTAGGTTTTGTGTAAACAGTGCAGTACCTCTATATTTAGGGATGTTTTGCTCTTTTCTGTGGACCTGCAGTAGGTCACTGACTGAAATGAGATGCTGGGACAGATGCATGTTTGGTTGTGTCTGATAAAGGTGCCTTTCACCATGTTCCTGTGTTTTAGCTGGGGTCTAATCTTTATCTAAAAAGCTGAAAGTTCTGCTTGTGTGCATAGGAGAAATATAACTAGAGATACAGCAAAGCATTTTCATGTAACCTGCACCTCATAGGTGAACAGCAGGGCTTTTTATCCTTGACAATTTCCACCTGAATGGATTCTTTAATTTAAATTTTACAGCTTTACTTCTTTACTCATTGTGGTTCATGAAGCAATTTAAAGCAATATAAGTGAATACAACAGAAAGACATCTGTGCTTAACCTTGCTAGCCATCAGTAGACACAGTTCCTGATGACTGTAAATGCCTTCCTAATGAGTGATAATCAGTATGAAAATGTCATTGCTTTAATTAATTAGGGATAGTTTTGATGGTAATGAGCTAATCATTCTGAACTTTCAGTTCTTGCAGCACCGATTCAGCATGGTTCAGATCAGAGTGGAGAGTCCCACAGAAAACTTAACATGACAACGAAAGGTGTATTCGAATCTTTCCTAAGCTTCTTCAGGCCGATGAGTAAGTGTCACCACCACTGCAGCACTGTCCCTCTCTTCCTCTCCCACTCCTGCCTCACTTCCAGTCCACCCTCCCACCCCTACCTGTCAGCATTTAATGTGTTTAAGGCCCTCAGTCTAAAACCCACTAGAGCTCTTGAAAATGGAATTGCTAAATGTCTCCTTGGAACAATCACATGTTTGTTTGCATTACTACCATCCTGCAAAATCCTCCATCACCAGTGATGTGACTGCTGTAAACACTGAAATTATGCTGGGAAGTTTGCCATAGAATCCACCGTGCCTCATGTTGTGTCTTACCTGAACTGGTTTTTTGGTCTTCCCATGTACACATAGAGAGATGAGAGAATTTGGCACAGCCTAAACGAGAGAAAGATTTTGTCCCACACTGGTATCTCTCCCACTGCTACTGGCTAGGAAAGCCTCCAGGCTGTTAGATTACACTGAACCACTAACCTTTGGACTGCTAAAGTTAAATAACAAGAATTAYATTCTTTGATAAAGTTATTGAGATGGAAATGACAATGCTAATTTGCTTATATCAAAAAGAAAGATAATATGAATACAGAAAAMGTTTGTTATATATAAAAATGGCCAGTATGGTTCCATAACTCGACCACAGACCAACAGGAAGGAGAAGCAGAAATGCTGCTTTTCACTTGGTGTGTTTCTACATTAATATCAGTGTGCCTGCACCATTACTGCCCACATGTAGCCCTAAGTAAGCACAGAGGGCTGGTGAAGATCCTGAGCCCTCCATTCAGTAAACTGAATTTGGCTACCAGTAATATCTGTGATAAATGTGAGACTGACAATACAGCCAGTCCTGGGGGTGTTGTTGGAACCAAACGATGCTTTGCAGCTGCTGTGTAACATAAGGGATGTGATACGATATTTTATAGGAATTAAATATACAGAGACATCTACTATTTATAAATATCTTATACATTTGAGCCATTCCCACAGAGTATCTCATGATTATCAATAAATCTGCTGTTAAATAGAAAATCTCAAAAATTGCTTGAATACATTGTTCAGTCACTTGATTGGATGTCATGGGTTTTCTTTTCCTATCAGCTTATTTTCAGCTGCTTGTAGAAATAAATAATAACTGCACAACAGAGATGGTTAGTTGCAATATAGTCTTTAAGGGAAAAAAAATTAATTAAAAACTGTCTAGTCAGAAAATGTAGCTTGTCTTTTTCACTTGCTTTACAAAGCTAAATACAAGAAAGTGTCACAATGGTGTTTAGATTMAGCTTTGTGATAGATTCTTACAGAAACAAAGCAAATTAGTAAAGATTTTTCTATTATATGATGTAGCTTTTCTGCKAATTTCAATATAAAAATTGGTTAGGCTTTGGGAAAGAACATACATGAACGTCAATGACATTGTTTTCTGGCAGGTTCAATCAAAACATGCTAGAGACACCAAAGTGATGACTTCCTTCTGTTTCACATTGCTCCCAGGATAGACATCTTACCTATTTTTTTTTTTTTTCTTTTTAAAGCTTGCCGCCTCAGCAATGAGCGACTCTTCACTCCTTGTCATGTAGAAAGCCAGAACAGGTCTGAATGCTTGAAAAATCACTGCTGTCCTTTCAAAATTGGCCAGGAAGAGCAGTGCTACCTGCCGATGAGAGATGGTGAGTGTGCTGCTCTGGGTTACTGCCCCTAACAAATCCTGCTCCAGGTCACAAAACACAGTTCTCATTTTATACTTCTAGCTTTTCAGAACACCCTTCTCTTTACAGTAACTGTAAGCTTGCATGTATTTCTTCATATAATTGTTTCCTTTATTACAATTAATTGATAAAAATTTTTCTGGTTATCTTGTCATGCCCAGCACAAGCAAAGAACAAGTGCCATACAAATTAAATACAGTCACATATGTCAGTACAAAGAATGAAGTAAAGGCTTTGTTTGTGGAAAATGAAAATTAATCCAAAGGATTGACTCTATGAAAGTGCTGTCAAGAAAAAGCAAAGTAACTGGATGTATTTTATATGATGAAAARGAGGTTAATTGGATATTTAATAGCTACTGATGACTGTTTAGAAGGGCAGTTACTAAGGTTAGAGAGTCACAAATTCTTCCTGGAAGAAACAGATCATTCAACAAGTGGGAATTGCCATTAATTGATGCTTGGGAAATTTAGCTCAGACATTAGGGGAAAAAAGTTCATCAGAAAGGTGATGCCATCAGAAACTGTTTGTTAGTYAGGGGCATATGACAGAAAATGTTTTAATCATATTCATTTCCAGCTTGAGCCTTTCTATGAAGTGTAAAAGATACTTCGCTACAGCAAGAAGGAAAGCTGTRCAGTGAAAATTATAACTCTTCTGCTGATTTTTAAGATACATACCCAAGCAAATTTTAGAATTAAATATGCTTGTTCAACTGTGACTGCTTGGTTCCTCTTTCTAGTTAGGCATTTATTGTTTGGACACCAATATCAAGGGCTGACTATTTTACAGAATTATTTGTTCATAGATTAATGAGCTCCTTGAATGCTCCTGGATGTGCAGCATATGTCCAAAGAAAATGCAAACACTTACTGTTTGCCTTGTAGCAATCTGTTGACAAAATACAAACACTTTACAGATATTAAACTCACTGCAGCTGGTCACAGGCTGCATACTGAATGGTTCTCGTTGGGAGGTTTGTCTTCAGTTTCACTAGGAATAAAATGAGGCATTAAGAAAATGCTGCGAAAGTTATGGACTGATGTAGATAAATAGAATTAATTTGAGAGATTTTGTCTCCATTGTTAAAGCAGCTTCTAAGGAACTTTGGTTTTGGTTTTTTTAACTGTTATTTGTTCCCCTTACACAACCCTGCCACGTGCTCTGGGCTCACTCAAACCCCAGTTGCCTCTGGAACTAAACAAACACTTGTGCTATTCGAACTCAAGCRAAATTTGAGACCAGTTCTTTCTCATCTGAGCTCATTTCTAATGCCTACTTTTTTGCCATTKTGTTGCTGCATCATAGAATCATTTGGGTTAGAAAAGACCCTTGTGACCATTGAATCCAACTTTAAATTCATCTGAGATGGCAACTGTCCTTTGCATTTACTGAAGTCTTAAGGTGTGAGTGCTGCCAGAGCTTTGCTGACAAAACATCTGTAAAGGCTAAGGAGCAACACAGCTGTGACTGCATGGCAGTGGCAATGTCTGTTTTAGAGACTGATTCTGTCACCCAACTGACCCGCAGTGTCTGTATCAGGATTTTTATCAGAACTAATGCAAACTTCTCCTGGCTCTACAGATGTGCAACTGGCCATTCGAGTGATTTTGCTTGCTGGAGGAGGATTTTTGACTTTGGGGCTTCTACCAATCTGTTGCTGTGCTGTTCTGCAGAGAAGGTAAGTGTTAGAGCATGACCAGACCACATTTATGAAGCACTGTTTCTAAACAGTGAAAATAGGGAGAACTGACATCTTTTAAGTAGGTGAGAGGAGAAAAGATTGGGAAAAAAAAGGCAAGAAACTAATGTTCAAACATAAAAGAACAGTCCTTCTATCTTGAAGCTACATAAAACAGAGACTCAATTTGGCTTAACAAAAAAAAAAGGTTATTTAATGCCCCAGTACTCTTTCTAAAGACCTGGATATAAAAGACTTGGGCTTAATCTTACTTCACTTGCTTGGGAAGTTGCACATAAAACACAAAGGCAGAYTCCCTCCAGGAAAGACCTGGAGTTATGCAGTATGACAAGGAAGGGAAGAAAAAAGTATGAGTACTGAATAGACTGAGAGAGAAGGGCTGTGAGTTGGGAATTATTTATCCCCGATGCCTCTAAAATGCAGTGTAGGGTTTTTAATGTATAGGGCACATTACAGCCTGTGAGTTCTATGCAAGCAGTTCAGTGTCTGACACAGTGGAGAGTTTCAGCATGTGTATGTGTTCTCAGGATACAGAGAAAATGTAAATTCCACTACATCATGGTCATTAAACTGAGATGGAATGAATTAACATAACTGTGTTTTATTTTTTTTAGGCAGTAGCTCTTACTGAATGGCTGGTGCTACAGCTTGGTTAATATGACAGAATTGTCTTTTTAGTGAAGTTTTTTTCCCTCCAAATGTTAAACTTTTGCTCCACTAAGATATAGTATTCTGTGTGGGAYCATATACGTGCATATATACACACACACGTAGACTTTACTAATGAGGCTGCTTAGCAGATGGCTGTTTGCTGTGAGTTCCACATTTTGACAAAACCTGCTGTGAAAATCTCCACATTACATCTTACACTGTGCTCAACAGCTGATGCTCAGCATACAGATAGCTGCACTGAGTCATCACTGACTCTGAAAACAGGAGGCAAAGAATCAACATGAAATTATCATAAATTTTCTGGAAAATGAATTAATATGTGTTCGTTTTGAGAGAATTCACATTAATGTTTAAATGATCATTTCTGTGGTTTTTCATAGCCAGTGAATCTAGGAATTTTGCTCTTTTACTACRACTTTTGTTTTTTAATGCAATAATTAACCAGATGCTAAATGGTTTAAATTTCCAACATCACATATTTGAGTTCTAGGAAAGGTGCAATCCTATCACACTGTAACTTTGAGTTTTTCCAGTTTTAGAGACAGTTGATAGAGCTTTGGAAAACATTCCTTTAATAAGCCAAAAACCTTGTCTCTGGATGGAAATTCTTTTGTTTTCAACGTTATACAATCATTATTGAAAGGATCCTATGTACAATGCCAAATTTGTGCTGCAGTGGATGTGCCCAGAAGTAAAAATTGTTCTCTAGAGTTATCAAAAAAAAGGAGGGCTTTTGCTGATGAAGTTTGGGATAATTTTTTAATCTCACTGWGCCTCTTCTATAGCAAATTGCAAGGTTTCTAAACCATGGCCAGACTAAGAAAATGTAGGAGCACGGAATTCCTGTAAAATTGATAGAGGGAGCTGAGTACTCCTCTCCTTGCCACACTCGATCAACTCCAGTAATTTCCCAAGCCAGTGAGGCTTTGTTACTTTCCACATCCCCATGGACAATCTGTGTGTTTGCCTCCTTCCAATGGTGTTTTTCRTGCAGGAAGCAGAATCTCCACGTCTGTTCCCTGCCAACTGGCAATTTCCCTTGTGTGCTATCAACACAGCATCTCCTGTCTGGAGCTGTGCTCTGATGCTTTTGCTGTGTCCATAACTGTGCCATCCTATCTTGCTCCYCTCAGTTTTGTTAGTCTTCATTAAGAACCACACACAAGGACAAGTAGGTTAAAGCACTAAAGGTGAGAAAAATGCAGGTGATACTTTTGAATAATATTGTGTAGATTTTAAAAATAGAATTAGAAAATTCTTCATTCTTTCCTGCTCAATCCTTGATACATCTGTGGGAAGCAGCCCACAGAATTTTGTGAACTAGTTACTGGGGAAATTTCTGGTCATGGTTGCATTGTCTCCCCAYCCTTGCCTGCTGAGGATGAGACAAGCAACCCTGTGCAGGATTTCCTTTYCCAGGAAGAGCTGGGCAGTGAGATGAGCCCCAGGACTGTGTATGCCTTGTGTGGACTGGGCAGTGCTGRGTTAATGGTTGGRATCARTGATCTTAAAGGTGTTTTCTATTCTGAATGATTCTGTGATTCTGTGTGTATCAGAAGGTGAAATGAAATTCATGAAGAGAATGTAAGAAATGGGAAAAGCATTGCAWTGCTTTTCCTCACCTTAATCTATCCTCTGGAATCTTATGATGGCCCCTGAAATCAACTGTAGCTTTGTGAGTTTTTTCACTGGAGCAAGGATTTCATGGCTAAAGTCTAGGTGACCTTTTTTAAGTTCCTGCTTTGGAAGTGAACCAATTTCAGCTATTTTAATATGTTGCAGTCCRTGTATCAATCCTTTACAAAAGATAAGCAAAAAAGTACAGAAGATTGCACGGGAAAAAAGAGCACGTGATAAAGAGACTCGTGATGAAGAGATTCATCGCCATTTACTGGACTGACATAAGAAAGAACCAAAAGCACAAAAACAAGAAGGTAAACTAACTTTGGGGTATTCTTTTGTTCTCAGTTTAGGATTTTCTATAGAGTCTTTGTAGAATACTAAAGATAAGCACTGCTGAATACCTGCATTCCCATAGCTCCACATCTTGGCATTCTTGGCATTCTTCCTCAATGCTGAAGAGCAATTGACTAGTGAAATAAATGTAATCTGAGAATGAAGTGCTATTTACTTCATGTGACCATGCCAAACTGTAGCCTACTAAAGGTCACAATGAAATAAAAATGTGTCAGGGAGGTCATTAGGCAATAAGGAGATATTTCAGGGAGAGTATTGATTTCGCAGAAATGTAAAATTGTCCCTAAAGTCAAGTTATACTCATGTTTGGGATTTTTTTTTCTCCCTTTGGTGTATAGGACCATCTACCTGATCCTGAAGATAAAGCAGAAGACACCAGGATTATTTGACTATGTCATAGAAAATGACACATTTTGTTTTAGCAATGAAGTAATATCAAGTTATTAACTCTTGATAGTACTATTGATTTTGCAGTAAAAGTTTTGCGTTCTTGTTTCTTGCACTCATTCCATACTCCCTGTACAAAAAAACCTGGTATCACTGAAAGGCAGACTGCTCCTGGCAACCCCTGAGTAGTAAAGTCAGTGTTCTCTGCATACACTTGCATCCCTGTGGAGGGATATAAAGACACCAGTTACGTGCCCATCTCAGTTCAGGGGTCAGTCTTAGAGTAAGATTAAGGGAATGTTGTCACTTGTTAGGTTGGTAGTGAGAGGAAGCTTGCTCTGGTTCCATATTGGCCCCATAGCACAGCAGTGCTGCTCTTRCYSAGRAGAACAGCTGGTTCTTTACCGGGCTGCAGAGCATTTGGGAAACCTGTTGTTGAGCAATTGCTTTAAAGATGTGCCTGGCAAAAATACAAAGAACTCAATGAAACTGTGAGAGTGTTGTCTCTGGAGTTGTTCCCTCCATTGGATAACACTGCACCATGCAACTTTTTTTGATCTTAGGATGACCTGTYTCCCAAAGTAGGTGATTCCAAAATGCAATTTCTTTCCATTTCCCTGTAGTGTAACAAAAATAAAAGAAACTAATGTGTAACACTCTTCAACAGCTGAGTGCAAAGAGTGAGCACCTGAAAGAATGTCAGTAGAAGTCAGTATCACCCATAATAACACAATCACTTGTCATATTTCTTTGGGGCTATGAAGTCCATGTAGCAGAATTTCCAAGAACTACAACTGGCAGGAATGGAACTTTGCTGCTAAGCTGGAGAGTAAATATTATGAGTGATTCTTTGAAACTCTGTACTTTCAGAACTCCCCCTTGAAAACATTTTTCTTAGTTTCATAACTCCTAAAAAAGGATCGCTTAAAATCCAAGTGCAGTGTGGGTGGAATATGCATATGGGCAGTCTCATGAAGTATTTGGAGTACTTGCTGATGGTCAGATGTAAATGTGTGCAGGAGCTTTAAAGSCTGACATTGCAACCTTTGCCAGAGGCATTGTATTACAGGTGATTTGTTTAAAATTTTGCAAGCAAAARTATTACACTATATTTGATGCAGAAAAGCAGATCAATGGAAACTGAATAGGGCACTGTTTGCTTTCTAAATCTGATGTGTATTTGCTCTTTCTTGATATTGCTTTTATGGAAAGTGAAGTGTGTATATCGACATTTTGACAAAGATCAAAATAGTTTCTGGTTGCATGAATTTAGAGTCACTGTCACAGCTGAAATGTGCACATGACAAACCAGAGAACCCCTGGTGGCTGGTGATTATGGGAGAGCAAGTTGTGCCCCACAGAAAGTTAGGCTTTCATGTGGTGCTTCCTGATTTTAATTTGAAGGGTAATACATTCCTCCAGTTTGCATGTTATTGGCAGCACGACTGGTTTCAGTGTCACAGAACATCCTGACAAAGGGACACTCTGATAAAACAATTGTATTTAAGGGTGAGCAGTGCATGTGMTGTGTGGCTGGCAGCATCAGAACARGAGGAGCATAAGCAAAAGGTACTGATAGAGGAGGAGGTGAGATGAAAAAGTCACAGCCAGGGTTGTGTTCCCCTGTGCTGTGGGACAGCAGTAAAGAGCAAAGTGCACGGGCATGGGGTCTGTCCTTATCCATGCAGCAGCTTTGCTGTAAAGGTGTTCTARAAAGCTGGAAGTTTTGCTTTTCAGTTGAAGACAGAAGTTCTGATTTTACATTTTAATTTCTCTATTAGCTCGACAATGCGTTGAATCAATAGCTGTCAAGCCATGGGTATTGTTAAATAACTGCTGTTTGTGCCTGAGATGTCATAATAGCTCTCTCATTACWATTGAAGGTCAAGATTGCCACCTTAGGGTCAAATCATAGATATTTATTCACAGGCCTGTGTGTGGTGAGAGCTGTACTGACAATGTCACAAAAAGGTGGATGCTTTGATCAGCTGATTGGCTGTTTTCCTGCGCTGAATATTCAGAGCCCTTTTATAATTTTTTTTGTTTGCTTGTTTTTATGCCCCTGGACCTAAGCATATTACACAACAATTGCAGCATGGGGTTACCCCACGTCCAACTGAAACATGTCTTTTCCCAGTGCTTGAGCTGCTGATTGTGTCTATCAAGCTATGTGCTGCTGGGCCAAACTCGGTTTTCCTTTGTCCTTTCTGTCCCTTCCAAAGGACAGACTGAGGGTCCAGGTKGGCTACAAGAGGGCACAAGTATTTTTGCCAGGCTCCTCACAGTATCTTTGTGGCTAGAGAAGAAGCTGCTGAAGGYTGGGTGTGGTTCCCAAGTCTGCAGAAAGACCTTCCCGACCCAKGGAGAGGGAGGGAGGGACACATTCAGTCCTAAAATCAGGGACCACAAGGTGGTGCTGCAGGAAAACATTTTTCCCTCCGAGGTTTTGGGTTCTGGAGAACTKTATTGATTTCTGCCTTTTACAATGTGGTTCATCAAGTCACAAAAAGGCAGATGGTGTACAATAGAGCAATGGTCACTCATTAAAAAAGACAACATAATACAGCACATGATGACAAGGCTTTAGGAGACTTACAAGATATACAAACCATTGCTTGTGGCTTTAGCTCTGCTCTCTCTCCTATTGAACCGATAGAGAGTGAAACAAAAGAGCTCTCAGTGGAACATCCCTCTTTATCTTCACAAAGATTAAATAAATACAAGGCTAAACAGCTTGGCCCAAAGCACAATAGCTCTGTCCATGAGTGGACATGGAGCTGCTACCCTGGAGATGGGAGCTGTGATAGGGCTTCCCCAGCTCTTTCATCACATCACCCCGAGCCTGCACCACATCTGATGGAAAAGGATTTGGCTTTCTGTCTGTTCCCTCTGAAACCTGACCCACACCTTTAGCCACATTCCCTGAGATGAAAAGTCACAGTGTTTTTTTGAAAGCTTTAAGGCAATATGAAATGGCTGCATTACGCTGTGGGTGATTGTGGCAATATCTGGTACTTCTCTCTTCTGACCTTTAGAAAGCTTTCAAAGTCATGAGAATTGAACTTAAAAAATAAATACAATGGAATGAGAGAATAGATTTGAACTGTAAAGCTCAAAAATCCAAGGCCAAATACAGAACTGTATTTAAGCAAAATCTCTGTGACTGGGGAACTTGTATTTTTGAAGGCTTGAAGTTCAGTCCTRTTTTACCCAGCTGAGATCCATGCAATGCCAGGTAGTGCACATATAACAGAAAAATGTACTTCATACTCAAYAAATATTTTCCCAGCTTGTTTTCATGTAAGGGATGTAAATTTTAAATGTTATGGTTGCTATGATCTTGCTGACCTAGGCTTGGATGCAACAGCTAAAATGTTGTGTAAAAGTCTCCCTGGAAAAGGTRTTTTATGTTCTCCTGTAAGGCCCCAGTGGAGCAACTGGTTCTGTCTAACTCAATTTTGCTTCTRATGTTTGTGCTCCAAAACTTTTTTGTCCTAACAAAACACTGGGGGAAAAATGGTTTCTGCCAGATGAAAGGAGAAGACTGTCCACATCTGTGCTGCTTTAGCCTTCTGAGTTCCACTGTGCTGCTTCCAAGTCCCTTCACAAAAGGGAATGTTTCTTTCTGCACTGCTTCCTGACAGAATTCACTATCCTGCGTGTATCTCCCATCCAAGTGGATAAATCTCTGAGCACATGTGTGTTTTGTTCTGTGCCCAGGTAAGAGCAGTAGAGCTTCATCCTGCAGCAGCTGTTTCTCTGTAGCATCAACCACCACCTCTGTCCTGGTGGCTCTGAGGGTTTGGCTGTGCCAGTGACATTCAGACAGGAGGATGGCAATTGCACAAGGAGCTCCCTCTAGGAGGGAGCATGGCTACAGATGCTCTGATCCTGCAGATCCACCTCCCTGCTTTTCAAGGGGATGATTTTTCAGTCTCTTAGGYTACAGCTCTTCAATATTCCCCCTAGTGTGGATCATTGGCTGAGTCAAAGTGAAATGGTCAAAACAATTTTCCTTTAGAAAAAGAATCTTCTGATGCATGTGCTGGGCCTGCCATTTAGCACTTTACACCTGCCCAGGCTCCTGTTAAGGGTTTTACTGACTCTCCAAGCTTTAAACATTTTCACCTTGTGGGTAATTGATCCAGCACTAGCACACAAAATGTGTGTGGCAAATGTGAGCTGGAAAAACTAAGCCAACAGAAAGGACAGAAAGAACCTGTGCTTAGGACTTAGAGCACAACTGAGAGATCCAGGGAGTAAATGCACAGTTATAAAATGCTCTTGCAGAAACATTTKCAAATGGGAAAGCCCTGCTTCAGTTAAATGAACCAGGTAGGCAGCAGCATTGCCAAAAAGCAATTTCTTCAATTAAACATGGCCTTATGAACTGCARGAGCTCATTGTGGTTGGCTGTGTGATGTGTCCTTTCCCATTATCTTCAAGGAAAGACAGGGAAAGGTTCATTCCTGTTCCCAACACTGGGTGCATTGACAGCTGATATTTCAACTTCTATTTCTCAGATACGAAAGTGATAACATTAAATAATKACAGGGCTCAGTTTGAAGGAAAGAGCTCTTAGGGTCTCTCTGAAAATCTATCAGAAGCAAGGAAACTCAAGAGCCTGCAGAAAACAGTGGTTGGGSTGCTGTTGACCCAGTGTTTGATGTCGCAGTAGGTGACCCAGCTCAAGCTTTTGAAGAGTGGATAAGCTTAGCCTATTACTGTTATGGTGGTCCTCATTTAGAACAGTCCTAGAATGCTGTAATATTGTTTAAACCATGAAAAATCTGGGCTTGGGGCACATCAGCTAAAGACCAGGCTGTACAAGCTGCAAAGGAAAAGAAGGAAGTCCATGGGAAAACGACCTTGTGAAAAATAACATGGAACATTTCACCAGATTGCTACAGAATGTTATTCCTATTTTGCTTTTGCAATTTATTTTAGTTATATAGGAGCACACTAAAAGTCTGTCACCGCAACTGCTACAAGCATTTATTTTATTTTTTTATCTATAAGCTTAATTGGTTGTTGGGTTTGGTTTGTTTGGTATTTTTTTAAACATAACTACAATTAATCATAACTCATCAGCACAGCTAGCTAGAAAACAAAAGGTTAACAGCAAATTCTGTTTTACTGGTTARAGATGCTGCTATAGCAGCATTTGCTCAAATGGTTGTTTTACACATGCAGTGGCATCATCCAGTTTAAATCCTGCTGTGTTTCTTTGCCAACAACTGCTAGTGAACATTTGCCCACCTTC